GCCACCCAGCTGTGACACCAACTCCCCCGCTTTCCCCCATTTCTCTTTTTCTCAGCTTTCTGCATATGCCTTGGGCTGCCAGGTGTTCCTTGCCACTGGGTCACCTGCTAGGACTCAGCTGCCAGATGAAATCCCTGGGACACAAAGAATAGGGTTCCTGCTACACTTACAGGGTCTCCAATATACCGGGGCCCCAGGGAGTTCTGCTCATCCTTCTTTTTGTCCCATGAACAACGCTAAGGATGTAACTGCACCTTTCCTATAAATGCCCGATCGTGGCATGTCTATCGATGTCATCTTTTAAAAAGTTAGGCATTCCATTGTAAAGGTGACAGGAAATACTTGATAGTTTGTTTTTAAAATAGCACGCAGAAAATCTGAACTCACCGAACTAAATTTAAATACCAATATAACACGTGCCTTTTCTAAAGGCAAAGATTTACCAATGTAATGATTTTACATTCTTTTGTTTTCCTTATGAAAAATGAAGAAAAATAAGACAAATGTACTTAAATATCTGGTTTGCACTCCACATCTAGAAAGAGAAATATATCCTCTAGAAAGAGAAATATATGAATAAGAGAAACATTCATATCTGACAGGATACATGTTTTTTCCCAGTCCCACCTACCCACTGCTGCCAAGTTAGTTTACCTGAAGCTCATACTCCCAAGCTTAAATATCTGTGTTAGGGGACGAATTGTGTCCCCCCCAAATTCATATGTCGAAGCCCTAACCCCCAGTATCTTAGCATGTGACTGTATTTGGAAATGGGGTATTTAAAATGGGTGATGAAGTTAAAATGAGGTCATTAGAGTAGGTCTTAATCCAGAATGACTAATGTCTTTATGAGAAGGGGAGATTAGGACACAGACACATACAGAAGGAGGAGCATGTGAAGACACAGGGAGAAGGCATCCATCCATAAGCCAAGGAGAGAGGCCTGGGACAGATCCTTCCCTCATGGCTCTCAGAAGGAGCAGACAAAAACATACACTGGGGAAAAGAATCCTTATTCCACAAATGGTTCTGGGAAAATTGTATAGCCACACATAGAAGACTGAAACAGGATCTGCACCTCTCACCTCTCACAAAAATCAACTCACGATGGATAAAAGACTTAAATCTAAGGCATGAAACTATAAGAATTCTAGAAAAAAATATTGGAAAAACTCTTGTAGACATTGGCCTAGGGAAAGAATTTATGAACAGGCCCCCAAAGGCAATCACAGCAATGACAAAAATAAATAAATGGGACCCGATCAGATTAAAAAGCTTCTGCACAGCCAAGGAAACTATCATGAGAGCAAACAGACAACCTACAGAATGAGAGAAAATATTCGCATGCTACATATCTTGCACAGGGCTGATAACTAGAATCTATATAGAACTCAGGAAAATCAGCAAGAAAAAATCAAAGAACCCCATTAAAAAGTGGGCAAAGGACATGAACAGAAACTTTTCAACGGCCAAGAGACATGAAAAAATGCTCAACATCTCTAGTCATCAGGGAAATGCAAATCAAAACCGCAATGAGATATCAATTAACTCTAGTGAGAATGGCTTTTATCAAAAAGCCCCAAAACAATAAATGTTGGGGTGGATGTGGAGAGATAGGAATACTCATACATTGCTGGTGGGACTGCAAACTAGTGCAACCTCTGTGGAAAGCAATATGGAGATACTTTAAAGAGATACAAGTAGAATTACCATTTGATCCAGCAATCCCATTACTGGGCATCTACCCAAAAGAACAAAAGACATTCTATAAAAAGGCATCTGTGCTTGAATGTTTATAGCAGCACAATTCACAGTTGCAAAGATGTGGGAACAATCCAAGTGCCCATGAATACACAAGTGGATTAATAAAATGTGGTACATGTATACCATGGAGTTCTACTCAGCTACAAAAAACAACGGTGATCTAGCACCTCTTGCATTACCCTGGATAGAGCTGGAGCCCTTTCTACTAAGTGAAGTATCCCAAGAATGGAAAAACAAGCTCCACATGTCCTCACCATCAAATTGGTATTAATTGATCAACACTTAAGTGCACATACAGTTGTAGCAGTCATCGGGTGCTGGAAAGGTGGGAGGGAGGAGGAGGGGATAGGTATATTCACACCTAATGGGTGCGGTGTGCACCGTTTGGGGGATGGACATGCTTGTAGCTCTGACTTGGGCAGGGCAAAGGGAATATATGTAACCTAAACATTTGTACCCTTGTAATATCCTGAAATAAAAAAAAAAAAGAAGGAACCAACCCAGCTAAGAACTTGATCTTGGACTCCTAGCCTCCAGAACTGAGAGAAAATGAATTTCTGTTGTTTTAAGCCACCCAGTCTGTGGCACTTTGTTGTGGCAGCCGAGCAGACTAATAGAATACGTGATGGATGATTCTGCAAGTCCTGCCAATAAATCCAAACCCTGCAGACACAGAGCCTCAGATGAGTCCTATCACCTCTGGCCCAGGTGTGTCCTGTGCTTCAGCCACTATGGATATGTCACCAGTGTTCTCTGCACCTGCCCTGCAGGTAGCAGCTGTCTCCCAAGCCACAGTGAGGTCATGGCAGTTGAACAGTCCCACAGGTCATGTCCCCGAATCTACAGGTGCTACCTTAGTGTTGTAGGTGCAGCCCTACTCCTCTCAGCCCAGTTTCCCTCTCTCTGTTCAGCCCCTTTGAATATCTCTGACTTGGGACTGTCATTTGCATCTGGACATGTCTCTGGCATGGCTTTCGGTTTCTCTTGTCTTCATGCTCTTCAGATCATGGGACAGGGGCACACCACGCCCAGAATTCTAGCCCGTGTTGAGCCATTCCTTCCATCTGAATGACTCTGTCCTCTGTACGACTTTTCAAAATTATGCCATGTCTTCCAGGAAGCTTTCCAATTAGGCAGCCTTGATTTATGGTTAACAATTTTCTTGTTATTAGCCTCCTCCACTTCCAACTTAACTGTAAGTTTTCTTTCACCTGGCATCTTGCATATAGTAGGAATTCAAAATGTTTAGTGAGACAAATGCTATCGAATTAGCAGTAATTCTGACCTTATATTTGGTGCATGCTCTTTGCCACTCCTCAGTGAGCTCTTTTCTATGTTTAAAAGACATAGGATCTTTACCAAGGTGCACCTGCCTGGAGAGAAAAAAACCAGCTTCCAGAACCCGTCAGAATATCAAAATACCATGGTCAGCTTTAGCCGGACTGTCTTCACTATATTGCACAACTGAAAAGGGTGCGGAGATATTGGAGCAGACACCGTAGGGGGGAGGGGGAGAAGTTATCAAGATTCCAGCAACATAACTAAGATGAATAAAATGTTCTACAAAATGAAACTTATCTTCTAGCAACACATGCTAAAGTATTTACAAATAAAAACATCTGGAGGCTCAATATCATTAGTCATTAGGGAAATGCAAATCAAAACCACAACAATATGCCACATTATACCCACTGGGATGGTCATAAAAACAATAATGGAAAATAAAAGGTATTATCAAGGAAGTGGAGAAATTCTAACCCTCATATGTTGCTAGTGGGAATGCAAAATGGTGCAGCCACCATGGAAAACAGTTTGATGGCTCCTCAAAAAGTTAACCATGGAGTCACCATATGACTCAGCAATTCTACACCTACATATGTGACCAAGAGAATTGAAAAGATATGGTCACATAAAAACTTGTATATAAATGTTCATAGCAGCATTATTCACAGTAGCCAAAAAGTAGAAATCACTAAAATGTCCATTAACTGGTGAATGAATAAACAAAATGTTATACATCCCTATAACGGAATATTATTTAGCCATACAAAGGAATGAAGTACTAATATGTGCTATGATGTGGTTGAACCTTAAAAAACATGTTAAGTGAAAGAAGACAGTCACAAAAGACCATGTGATATGTGATTCCATTTACATGAAATGTCCAGAATAAGCAAATCCATAGAGACAGAAAGTAGGTTAGTGGTTGTCAGGGGCTCCAGGGAGTCGGGAATGGGGAGAGACTGTTAATGGGTACGGGGTTTCTTTTTGGAGTGATGACAATATTTTGGTATTTGGTATGTAATATATCCATCATGAAACCTGGCACATTTCCAAAATAAATACGACTTTAAAAGTGGAGGTGGGTGTCTGGAGAGCTATTTTAGATTAAAGGAGACTAAAGAGACATGGAGACTAAATACAAATTGTATGACCTTTGATTGGACCCTGCATTCCCCTCTTCAGAAACAAAAAGGACCCAAAAAGCTCAGGTATAAAGGACACTACTGGGACAATTGTATCAATATTCAATTTCTTGGACCTGATTACCGTATGTTGGAGAACGTCCTCGTTCTTAGAAGCCATATGCTAAAGTATTTATTTGGGTGATGCTTACTGATGTCTGCAATTTACTTTCAAATGGCTCAGAAATGTGAGCGTGCATGTGCGTGCAGAGTGAGGGGAGGTGTATGTGCATGATGCGAACAATTAGTGAATCTAGGTCAAGCGTCTATGGGTGTTACTTGCGGGTTTAAAATCTTTTGACATAAAAATCTGGGAAAAATATTAAGCGAACAACACTTCAGAATGGAATTCAGGATGTGATTTCAAGTCTGTTGCAAAGAAGCACAAAAAAGAAAAAGCACCATATTAATTAACAGTGGTCATTGCTGAGTGTTGGCATCACAGTGATTTTTTCTCCTTCTCCATACTTTAAAAAATATTTTTTCCAGTTTTCCTGTAATGAATGGCCTTTGTTTCTGAAACGTGTATCTGTTTTTCCTAACAGGGAAGGAGTATTTTGAAAAATAAAATATTCAATTCCTTCCCAACTGAGGCAGGACTGTGAAAGAAACTTAAGCTGAAGCAGACGGCATTTCTGTCTGATGCAAAGGCCATTCCTCCCCGGAGACGGGAGCAGGGCGGGGGCGCCTTCCAGGCGAGGCACAGTCTCATGTGCGGGCAAGTGTGGAGCAGGGGCGTGCAGCAGGTAGCCTCTCAGTGACACTTTCCAGGAGCCTATTTTTAAGCTCAGTTTGAGAGCTTCTAGAGCTTACTTTAGCTCAGTCTGTACACAAGGATACGGCTGGCCTGATCTGCTAAAAAAATTTTTTTTGTGAAAAGGTTCCATTTTGGTCACAGAAGCACAAGAATTCTCACATCTGAGTTTTAAAACCTCTACTAGGACCCCCCCGCACACCTCCACCCCATGGGGCTCCCCCGAAGGCCTCTGGGGCACACAGCCCAGGGCACCGGGGCTCATGGTGGGGTGAGAGGTGATGGGATGAGGTTTGAGGTGTCCAAGCCACCTGGATTTATCCTAGAGAGAGGGAGTGCTGGCAGCAGTGGCCAGCGGGGAGCAGGGGCCCAGTGTCTCCTGCAATTCACTCTAGTTCTGCCACTGACGGGCCATGCTTAGGAAAGAGCATGGTTGGTCACATTAGTTTATTCCTAATAGAAACTCCATTCTGAAACAGAAGGACCAGTGGTGGAGACTGAGTAATCAAATTCTCCAAAGGGCATAAAAAGTTATTACATTTTGTGTGTCTCATGTATAAAAGACCATCACCGAAAACAACTGTACTGTCACTTGATAGAAATATTTGCTCATTATTTACCACTTAAGATGATTTTCGATCTCTTGATAAGTGTCCTGTCTCACTTTCTGTTCAAAGAGCGCCTCCTTCATCTGTCTTGTTTTTGAAATTTCAGTGCCGTGGTCCAATACTGAAGGCAGGAGCGAACAGTGATTATGCCAATAATCAAATCAGAATCATTTGCAGACTGAAAAACACATTTCTAATGGTAAAGCATAATAGCAATCTAACCAAGTTTTGTTGTTCCTGAGTAATAAATGTGACAAGCAACAATTCTTTCATATTCTGCCCAAGGGCTGATTTATGGGGATCAGCTAGTTACCTTCTCTTAATTCTTTAATCTTCAATTTTCCTGGTTCTTGGTTTAAAACAGTTGCCACAGCATACGGATTTGATAAATCTACTGGAAATCTCAAGTTCTGGTACTCAATTTCCTGAGAGACCAGAGCAGTAGGGAAAATGTGTTATCTCACTGCGCCGTCACCCCTCCCTTCACACTGAGGATAATGCCTACCTTACCTTATTCTTCTGAGGTTTTGCCTTCGCTGGTGGTCGGTGAAAATTTACACGTGTCACTGCTTTTTCTGGAGGAACGTTCACTTTCTTAGAAAGAGTGTTTAACCTTTCAAACTCTTCTAATCTGTAGTTTAAAAGAGATATTAAATTAGTATATGCCCGTAACTCAAGGTTCCTATTTTTATGTTCCTTCTGATAATATCATGTCTTGCAGCCCATTATCATCTCTAAACTGAAAATAAATCTGTGTACCAAAACAATGGTCTACTAAAATAAATGCAAGGTCAGTGTATTAGAGTATAATCATATATATCAAAATAGCCCACCAATGTTTCTCCTTAAATTCTTAAAGAACATAACAAGTGAAAACATGACATGCTAAAAAATGCGCGCATAATCCACTTCTAGGCTGTTGGTTTTCAATAGCTAAATTTATTACATTTAAAAAATCTTACCTTGATTTATCTTCCTGGTAAAAGAGTGACTATGCTCATTGTTTGTAGGAAGATCTTTCAAAAAGATATTTAGACTAATGTTTGGGGTCTTTTCTGTAACTGAAAACTGCTTTTGGACATAGGCAGGTAGACACAGTGAAGCTAATAGCCTGAAGAAGCTATTCAGGTTGTTTATGATGAGATGTAGGAGAACTATGTTATACTCAGAAATGCTACGAATGAAGCATTTCTTTAAGCAAGAATGTGTCAACACTTGTTTTACAGGATAAGCACTTGTTTTCCATGACATTACAGAAATAAGACAAGAACGTATTAACTTTCACTCATTCTGACAATCCATTCACATTTGCTGAGCACCTACTGAACAGGCCCAGTTACATAATATGGAACATATGCTAGCAATCCCAGATTTAAAACTACCCATGTAAGAGCATCCTTAAAGATGCATGGCGTGGTAGAAGCTGTCCCGTGGTGAGACACACGTTGACCGCCATGCTCTGATGTGCAGGGATGAGGCTCAATGGGGCTTTGACATGCTCTCTGCTGTAAATATTGGGGACAACAAAAACCTTCTTGGGATTAAAAAACAGTTTCCTAAACAACTCTAACTTCCAGTGTTGATGATGGTAATGAAGAGGTCTAAAGAAAAGGATTAACTGAAGAGTTACACGTGGAATTTGGCAGTGCCAGATTGAGGACATGAGTAAGTCTGTTACACATCCTACACTGAAACAAAGAAAGCAATCCAAGAAAATTTCAGAGAACACTCCAGCCAGTATAACTTTTTCCCCTTTGTGGTGGAATGTATATGTTATAGTACTATTTGCAGTTCAGGGAGGCATGCAGATTTTGAGACATAGTCCTTGTAAATGTCAGGTGCACTCAATAAGATATTAACATAATAGTTCAGAAATAATGTACGCCTGCATTTCAGTGTGCTTCTACGACACAGTGCCCTCGTGTATTTAAGAACACATCTATGAAAGGTTTACACAAGTAAAACTCCCACTCAGGTGATGTCTTTGAGAAAGTCACTTGCAGCACATGACATGAGAGGGCAAACAGCATTTTGCTTGCCTGGTTCCCTGACACCAGAAAAGTTAGCACTGTTTTTTATTTGTATTCAATGCTACTTGTGTTTATCGCCTGAGTGATTTTCTTTCTACTATAGTTACTTGCAGGATTTGGGTTCAGCAGGCCACACCAATATCCCACAGTTGACTTAGGTACTTTGAATTTTTAGGAAGAAAACACTGACATAAATATTTAAGAAATCATGGAGTTAGTTCATACTTTGGTATAAGGTTGCTACTCCACTTTTAATGTGCTTAATGATGTTAATATGTGATGTGTATCCAGGCATGAAGGAAAGAGGAGGAAAATCAAAACATTTCTTTATCACTTTCAAGACAATTATCAGGATTTTACAAGATTAGTATTTATACTGTGGCAACTTTTTCTTTTAACCTTTATAACAATCATGAGCATAAGGAAAAAAAACTTATGACACTAACCAGATACACTGGAATATAAACATACAAGCTCATATTCGAATGGAAATGAAAGTTCAGAAAAGATTTGTTATGAAATAAAACTTAATCTCATTTCATCTCTTCACTCTCACTTGAACTCTGATGGTGCTTTAAAAAACCCTGCAGTGCGGCACATTGCCATGTCTGCCTCACGTGAAGTCTCCTATTGTACATGTCTTATTTCGGTATCTTGAGCATGTGGCCATTTCCCATGAGGCTTTGCAATGAATGCTGCACACAGCAGGCACTCAATTAATTATAACGTTACAGAGAAACTTTAAAAATAGTCATGGTATTTTGGCCCTATGGTTTAAATTTTTGAATAGGCAGTAACGCATGCATATGGTAAAAAACTCAAATGGCGTACCAGTAGTTATCAGCGAAAGAATTACGCCCCCAAAATCCCTTTTTGAAATCATTTCTTCCCTTCATGGCAGAAACAACTACTGCTACTAGCATATTCTATGTATTTCTGTTATAACGTGTACTTTATGTGGGCTCATCATTTTAAATAAGGTTTTGATGGCATTCTGTTACAAGAGAGATAGCATGGGAGAAAGAAAGACTTGGATTTTTGACAAAGTGTTAAGAATAAACAAAAACATTGCGAAGAAGCCATACGGTAAGCCCATGTTGGGGTAGCACGTTCCGGTGAAGACACATTCGTATGGTTGAGAGTTGAACTGTGAAATCCACAGCTGCATTTTGATTTGTGCAGTCCCATACTGAAAGGGTGTAAACTTAATAGTCACATTCATCTTCCCATTAGCCGGAATTATTCCTGAGGGGAATGAAACGAGAAAACGTGATACTCTGTCTTCTTGCCAAGTCCAATCAAAAGGGTTGACACACACAAATACAGTTGACCTTTGAATAACTCGGGGGTTAGGGGTGCTGGCCCCCCCCACGGTTGAAAATCCACATAAAACTTTGACTTCCCCACAACTTAACTACTAATAGCCTAGTATTGCCCAGAAGCCTTACTGAAAACATAAACCATCGATTAACACATATTTTGTATGTTTTTTTTAGTTTTATCCCTTCTTTTATTTATTTATT